TGAAGAAGAAAATGCTTAAGATACGATTCATACGAACAATTCAGAAATTATTGTCACTGTTGTTAGTGTTAAATTCAGGCCGTGAAGATCACCGATATTCAACACAACTAAACAAATTTATTCTTGCAAAAGTAATATCTAAGAAGACAGTAATATCTATAGATTATCACATGACTCAACAACCATTTGCAGAAGAATCCGTTAGAACACAAATTTCTACACATCAAGGCCCCGTTTTGAGACTACACAATCAATCTTAGTTCAAGTCTCTAAATACTTAAGAAGGAAAGAGAACACTTTTATGTTTACCCAGTGCTTCCTGTTTCCCTGCTTCCCCCTATATCCTATTCTGATTAGAATATATAAAAACTCAAGTTTGAAATGGTGCTTAGAGCTATTTTGGAGAAGGTCTCAAGGTTATAGCAGACAAGAACGGAGAGAAAAGGAAGTTTGTCTTTGAACTCCTGCCCTGTGTTCACAGCTCCACCTCATGTCCCCATGTCCCTCCCAGCTACCTAGAATTCCATACCTTGTTCTCTACCTTGAGCCCTTTTCACATTTCAAAACCTAATGTCTCTGTGGCCCTGCTCTGTCTTTGGTGACAGCTGCTTGCATTCACACATTATTTCACTCTAATTCATTAAGTGCTACTAACACATCACCTATTACCCTCATTCCCAAAGATAGGTTTGCAATCTGAGGACTTTCACAAAGGAGCAACTTTTGGGGAGTTTCTGTCCCATGAGACGTCCACAGAAGAGAGTTCTGAATATGAGGACCATTTATCCATCTATCAGCTCTATTGAAATTTCATTTAAGGAATTAATGTGAAATTCTAAGCAAAAGTTTCAGAAACCATCCTCCATTCCTTTCTTTCTACTTTACTGAGAAAAACCAAGATTCAACACCGAAACAAAGAAAAGCCAAACACAACTCAGATATTTAGCTAAAGAATTTTGTAGGTAGATCATGCGCTTTGAGAAAGTGAGCTTCAGGAGGCAGTGGTTTCTGTTCCACTCCCAGGACCTAGAACAGGGTTTGCCACAAAGGAGGAGGTGGTTTGGGGAAATACGGAGCAGAAGTAATTTACACAGCTAACTGTAAAGTCCTCTTTCTCAGTCACCTTGTGGTCCTCTTCTTATGTCACCATTGAAAGTCTGTTCCACTTAATGAGAAAGGAATGAATCACTAATATCTGGGGGCATCATTTAAGACATGTTATTTCCAAACATGAATGAATGACATGCCAGTCTTCTGATGGAACTAAGAAACGTATTTTTAAAAAGCTGGTAGTATTCTCTCTTCTCAAAGATAGCTTTGGCATGTATTCAAGTTCTTAAGGATCTATAACTAACTCAAATTGTACAGAGATATTCTGTATTGGGATTATTAGCTCAATCCTGAACATGGGGGGAAAAGAAAAAAAAGAACCCAGCAAAAGCTTTAAAAACATGCCCATGTGTTCCCTAAATATAATTCAAGGATTTAGTTTCTATAGTAAATATTTTTATCTTATCTAAAGGGTAAAAGTTATACGTACATTTTTTTCCAGCTTTCTAGACGTAGCTTTTCCACATCAATCAAAGATCTTTTCTCTCCTGAGATTCCCCACCCTTTCTCTTTTTTTAATCTTTATTTCCTCTCTGAGTGACAAAAACAATAATTGTTTTTCTAGATCTTTCTAGGTTATTTTCCTCAGCTGTTCCTGGAACCCCTCTGTTCTAATCCATTTACAGCTCTTAGAGTATCATTCACGGAAAGTATTTACTATGTAACTGCTATTTACCAGGCAGTGATAAAAAAAAGCCCCCTCGTCCTCACCGAATTTCCCATTATTATAACAATTGTAATAAGTGATTACAAGCAATCGTAACGAGGCATGGGAACACACGATTAGTAGAGTGTGTTAAGTATTATGGTAGGAGAAATTCATAGTGATAAAGGAGGACATGCACACAGATTTAAGCAATTAGAGAAGGTATCATGAACCAAGTGGCATCTAAGCTCATGCGACGGGGACTGCAAATTAGTGGCTAAGAACAGGGGTCTGGACCTAATAGCTGAAGTTTCAATCTTGGTTCTGCTACGTAATAGCTGTGTAACTTCGGGCATGTTACTGAATTTCTCCTTATCTGTAAAATGGAGATAATGATAATCTTGACATGTCTCTATAAGGCTGATATAAGGATTAAGTAAATTAAATATATGCAAAAGCTCAGAGCAATGCCCAGCCCATAGCAACTGCAAAATAAATGTTAGCCATCTCAACCATTATTAGACTGAGGCCTGCAGGATGAGTAGAAATAAGCAGGGTAAAGGGGATGAGGTAGTAGAGTGAATATGTCAGAGAGAAGGAACTGCAGTGCAAGTTCTCTGTGGTGAGAGCGTTCACAGCTATTACAGAAATTGAAAAGAAATTCTATCCTGTTGGAATTTAGGATGTGGGTAAAGGAAAGAATCAATGAATAGCAAGGAAGCCGCAGAAGTGAGCAGGGCCTCTTTAGTCATCTCAGGGACTTGGACTGTATCCTAAAAGCCATAGGGAGCTAGTGAGGGTTTTAAGCAAAATGTGATCAGATCTGCATTTTAGAAAGAAGGCTTCCCTTGCAGGGAAGGGCCTGGAGACAGGGAGATGGGGAGGTGACTTAGAAGACTGTGACAGCGATCTCAGAAAAAGATCATGCCGGCCTGGATGAAAGCAGTGACAGTGGCAGTTAGACGGAAAGCGGATAGGGACTGGAGAGATTTAGGACTAACTCGGGCTTCAGAAACTGAGGCCATTCTCTGAGATGGGATTTGACGCACAGGGGGAGGCAGAGCGTGAGTGTGGGAAGGTGGAAGGTCTAGCTGCGGACACGCGGCACGTGAGGTGGGTGTGGAAGAGAGGAGCTGGCTAGAGTATATGAGGTCCCCAGAACAGACAGATTCACAGAGACAGAAAGTTGAATGGTGCTCACCAGGGGCTGGGGAAAGGGGAATTAGGGAGTTAGTGTTGGATGGAGATAGAGTCTCAGTTTTGCAAGGTGAAAAGACTTCCACGGACGGATGATGGTGATGGTCGCACAACAGTGTGACTGTACTTCATGCCACCGAACTGTTCACCTAAAAATGGTGAATGTTATGTATAATTTACTACAGCAACAATAGTAATAAAAAGATAAAGTACATAAACCTTTATTCCTAGAAGAATGTAGAGAAAGAGATGATCAGCATCTACATTTTCGAAGAGATAAATGTTTTTCAACAAAAGAATAACGACGCTTACAATCATAATCCTAATACATTTCCCCTTAAGAAAAAAATTGTCTTTAAAAAAAAAAAAAACTCGAACTGAGTTTAAAAAAGAAGATGTACAAACCTCAAACTGCTTAAAAACAAAGAAGAAATCAGAATGTGGCTTAGTTATGTAAAAGTCCAAGACTGAGTTAAGTCTCAGCCCCAGGGAAATTGATGGAAGAAGAATAGTTAAGGACTCATTTGAGATTGCGGATAATGTCTGTTGTAATGCTTACAGCCGAAGATAGAAATGATAAACGCTCTCATATTCTGGGCAGAGTGAACAGTCATTTGCTAAAAGCATGGTTTAGAATAGATGCTTTGTTTAACCAAGTCAGAGGTGGTGTGGCATGAGGGAAATTGAAATAAAAATATGAGTGGTGCCCTCAAATGTTTGAAAAAATAACATACTTGGGCTCATTTTTTGGTTTATTTCTATATTACCTGCATGGAAGTATTTATAGGTGATATTTTTTTCTATAAATTTCTTCAACAGAAACTCAATGATTTTGTGACTGTCAAAGATACACGATTATTACTAGCCTGGATTTACTTTCCTTTTTTTTTTTTACTAAGAATATAATTTAACCAAAACAGAAACAATGAGACTAGAGGTATAAATAGAGAATTTTATATTCTTGATGTTTTTAAATGTCTACAAAATACAAATATTACAACAATTTGTTAACATCTCTTTAGAGGAATTATTTTCCATTAAATTAATTAATCACCAGAATGTTCGAACTCCACAGAGTTTTAGAAACTGGCAGACATTTACTAAATCGTAGCTAAATAAACAAATCCATCAGCAAGTCATGCAGGAGAGAGCCTGCCGTGCCTGGCTCTGTATGAGGTGCGGTCAGTGACGACTAGGAAAGAATGATCAACTTGGTTTCTGCTCTTAGTTGTGAGTCTGTACATTTCTGAAAATGAGGCACCCTCTCCAGTATCCTACAATGCATTCGTAATGGCTTTTCAGACCAACCCGTGATAAACACAGAAGAACCTATAGATACTCTGAGTGGGAAGATTCACATTCTGATAAGGAAGGAAAGACTATAAAAACCATCGGTGTCAGTTTAATAAACAGAGGCATTGAAGGACTGGCAAATGACGAAGACCTGGCTTTCCTTGGTCCCAGTCCCGAAAAGGTGGAACAAGAAGAAAGAAAAATGAATGTGTTTCCTTTCCAGTGCCTGTCTAAGCTGTTATCAGGGCTCAGCTGAGGTTGGCTGGACCTTCCTCCATGAGCAGTAATGAGAACCAGACCTCCTGGGACCTGCCTGAAACTTAAAGGAACTCAAAACAAAGGCCCGAAAACAGCCAGCAAGGGTGGGAGTTAGCTTGGGAATTTAGCTGATAAATCCATCAATCAGTAAGCTGCTTCTTGCAGCCAGCTGTATTCTCTTCCTTGCTGCAGCCCTCACACTTTGGCCAATTTGTCTTTGCACTATGGCCAAGAAAGATAATAATACTGCTTGAGACTGTCCCCCTTTCTGGCTCTTCGCTATTGTGATTAACAAAGTAAGGTGCCAATTTGCTCTCTTTTATTTAGGAAGAAACTCTGAGCTACGATGGATCTAGTTAACGTTGACTTGACTTCAAAAATATACCTAGGTCTTTCCTACTTCAAGTAATTCGTAGGCATTACCTTGTTGCCGCGTTCGATCCCGACATAATCTGCCTCTTCTGGTATTATCACAAAGAGTTCAGCTTCATAGGCGCCTTCTCCTTCATTTCTTGCATTGATTATGAGCATAAGGTGATTTTCATCTCCGACGATGACCTGATGCTTATCTCTAGACATGCGGTTTAAAAGGAATCATTAGATACTATACTTCTCTGCATTCACGGGTATTTTATTTAAGGATTTATCTGGGAGGAAAAGAAGAAAGATGTGAAAATGCAAGACTGGGACAAAAAGCAGATGGCTGGTCATGAAGGGGTAGCAAGAAGAATCGAGGGGACCATGTCTGGATGGGAAGGGCGAGAAAGCATCCGATGGTGTGCTGGTAAATGTTTAGCAACCAGTTCTTAAAAAAATAAAAAGAAACACTGGAGTATTTGCTGATTCTAGCGGTGTAAACCCTCCCAACTGCGGTCAACTTCAAGCTACTGACATACTTAACAACCTGCCACCAAAAATTCTAGAAAATTTAACAATTGGCTCACAAGCCAGAAGGAGGGCAATTCTGGCACATCCCTGAAAACATCCGACAGGAAGAAGATCGGCAGTGGGAGAAGGAGAGAGAGAGTTTACAAACTCAGAGGGTGGACAGGTAATGCAAAGTGGACAATAAGAGGAAAGAAAGAGGCAGATAAAAGATCCCAAATAATTGATCGAGGCATTTTGAGGAAATTGAATTCACTCCAAATTTCGATTTGAACCACCGTTGGGAAATGTGTTTCACTTTTGACCCTTAATCAAAGCTATCGCTTTGGACATTGGCTAAATGGTAAAGTTTAGAGAAAATCTCTTTGGGGGAGTACCAAGCAGATTCCAAACACTGGCGGTGGCCAGGTCCCGGGGGTGGGGCTGGAGGAGCTTTTCCACTTTAGGATGTTTTATATCTTAGTCTCATTTCTTTCCATAGCATAGTGCGGTTTAATTATGGACTGGTACCTCTCCATTACAGGCAACTGGGAAGCCCTTTGATTCTCATTTGATTTGGTGACACCTTCTGCTTTACTCCATAGCATGCCACTACATTTTTTTTTTTCAGTAAATTAAAGTTGATTTTGTTTTGACAATTTTAAGGATGTCTTTGAGTCATAGGGTGCTTCAAAAACCAGTCTGTGAAGGTGTCGAGAGAAGCAGCCTATTTGAATCCTTTGCCCATAGAACTGAGACAAGTAAATACAACCTGAACCACCTCATGCATGAGTTTACTTCGAACAAAAACATTTTTTTTTTCCACTTTTGCTGAAAGATGAAACAGCTTGGGCAAGATCTTAGGGTGTGTCACTTGACACCAGTGACAAAGAACTGACCCGAACTGCAGGCTAACTCGAAGTGTAGCCCAGCTCAAGAATTTCACTCAGTGATTTTTTTTTTTTTCCTGGTAGTAGTTGAAAGTGTATACTTTCTCCAGAGAAGCTTTACATAAACACCTGTATTCCATTAGATAAAATGCACATGTTTATTTATTGAAACTTACGGTCTAGCTGACAGCTTCAAGTCAGGAATGCACATATTGTCTTCTCCACACTCCACCAGGATGTGAGCCTGTGTTGTGCAAACATGCACCAGGAATGAGTGGGGAAAACCTGAATCACATCCTTTTTCTTGAAATTTATAAACGATTCTACGAATTAAACCAAACGCTTTCATTTCAGTAGGCATGATTCTACCCAGCCAGAAACGCTTTGTTAGGCGGTAACCTCTCCACGTGGGTGAGTTTACAGAAGCGCCCGATTCCATTCGTTCTGAAACGTCTGGAAAGAATGCTACCTCGGCGATGTTTTGAGGATTACAGGCTGTATTGCTCCCATTACAGCCACATTTTGAACAACTTAAATCTGAGTTGCATAAGGGGACGGGCTTCCGAAAATGCAATGATGCAGTGTTTCAGGAAACACATTAGGAAAATCCCCCAATGCGACATGTTTGTGCACAGGAATGAAAACAAAAGGGACTGCATTCCACCCTAAGGCCACAGGAGCAATGCCCACGGCCTGACTGAGAATGTGCCATGGAGGACCATCAAGCACCTACCTGTTCGGTGACAACGTTTTCCCTGTAGTGGTTCAATATTGGTTTCACCTCTAGGCCTTCCTTCAAGGTGGACTCATCCAAACTGTAATTCAGACTAATGTTGATTGGCGATAGTTTATCTCGGAATTCAGTTTCGTCCTAGGGAAAATAATCACAAACTCAAGAAAGCCTCTGTGAAATAGTTGCAAGATGTCAGTCTGTGAAAGGCTTTTGACTGTAGTCAATGAAAGTAAATGATGAAGTAATTATCACCCCAGCGGGCTTAAGCACACACTGATGGATGCGGTATGTAGCAGTCAGCTTAATATATATTCAGAGATGAATCATTTAGCACTGTGGCTTCTCTGAAATATATGCTTCTAGAGGTAACCTTCGGGTTCTCCATATTTTCAAAACTCACACGGATTGGTCAAATTGCAAAGTAAAAAAAAAAAAATCATATTTATATATGCAATAAATGTCATTGAGTTGAGATTTTTATTTTCATGACGTTAGCAGAATTTGAGTCCTCTTGGGCTCAGAGGAAGAAGACATCTTGATTCTCCTCCTCTCTTATTTCCTCAAGCCCTGGCTTGCCTGAACTTCAAAACACCTTCAGCACATTTGAAGTTCCCTTGGCGGGAAAAAAACAAAAACAAAAACACAGAACTCCTGCCAGGTGAGTGGGTGGCACCGGCAGCAGGCCCTGAGCACCAGGGGCTTCCATCCCGAGCTGGCCATGTCAACCTCAGTTGTGTGCCAGTCACCATCACGGTGACACCCAAGGCTCACACGCCCAGCTTTCTGTTCTAGAGTGTATTTGTACACTCTGCCTTCCCCAGGGTTCCCCTCACTCACCGTTAGAGGGGACAAAATGGGGAAGAGTGATACCTCACAACCGCTAAGAAGATGGAATCATTGCATCATGAATGGTTTGGCTTTTTAAATTTCATGATAGGTTTGCAAGTTATTGCAAAAATCCCTTGCTTTAATATATAATTATAAATGACTTTTTAATAAAGGCTTTGAATATCTAAACTTTTTTTTTTTCTCCTGAGTTGGCTCTGAAATGCACATTGATAAAATCTGACCAAACATACTCACGTAGCAGAAAAATGCAAATCAATTGTGTTTAACATTTTTTTTTTTTTTGGCAGGGGAGGCAGAAATGAAAGCCGCCTGAGTTACTGCTATTCTGAAGAAAAATGCACGAAGCGAAAAGGAAGCCGTGGGCATTAACAGCAACACATCACTGGGTTCTCTGACGTTAGGCTCAGAGAGGGGAGTGTACCGCCTGAAAATAATCCTTCCTCTGGAAAAAATGAAAATGAGTGTGGACGAGCGTGATGGGTAAATGGAGGAAAACGGCTGGGATTTGGTTTAGCGGGTGAGAGGCCGCAAGGCGGTGCTGGCACACTGACTCGCAGGTAGACGGTGAAGTCGCGGCACTGGCGGGATCCCTGCCGCTTTGTCGCCAAGGGGAAGACGAGACGTGACTGACGGTTGTCCAGGAAGAGCGTGCGTTTGATGGCCCCTTTCTGCTTCAGAGAATCTAACTCCACCTCCGCGGTCAGTCCTGAAGGACAGAGAGGAAGTGGATACAACCCGCAAAGGGGAAGGATTCAGTGAAGACAGCGCTGGATCAGAGGTAAGAGTTCCGATTGCAACTCGCTTATGCAGAAAACATTTTATTTTTCATAGCTGGGATCAAAAACATTTTATTTTTCATAGCTGGGATCAAAAATACGCTGAGAAAAATCGTATAAAATACTCCCCAAGCTAATAAAACTTGTTTTGCAGTGGTTTTACACAAATCATCATCGCCCGCCACAATTACATCCATTTTTATAGATAATATGAATACTAATTATTCAAATAATATTTATGCAGAAGTTCCCATATATGCGCTAGCAATCTCGGTATTAATAAAGGTCTCCTTAAAAGTTTTATGTGGTCTGCAGAGAAATGCTGCTTAGCACAGTATGGGAGTATGAAAATGAAAATGTGCTCACCTATTGTGTCTGAAATGCTCTGGCCGGCTACAGATGCACACACTCTTAAGGAAAAGCTGTGGAAAATGGTAGTCAATAATTTATTGGTTAATAAAGTTTTGAATCTGAAGTAGAACTCTTCCTTCACCTCACCCCAGACAAAATGTATTCGTCATTTACTCTTATATATACAACTAAAAAAATAAATAAGCATGTGTTTATTTATCAATACATATTTACTACATATATTTTTTTTTCTACCAGTTGGTCACAACACTAATATAATTAAGACAGATGATATTATTACATATGATGATAATACTTGAAAATATTACTAACAGGTAGCTGATTTAATCAGTGGATTAAGTAATCAATTACTCGCTTGCCTCTATTCAATGAATGAATATCTTCCCTGTGCCAGGAAGTGAAGAACCAGGCAGTACACATGGGAACAGCTAGTGGACAAGCCTGGAGATATCTAAGAGCATGACCCCGTTTGAGGAAACTGAGGAATTTCCATGTGGTGGGTGCTTTGAAGCAAGAGGGAGGGAGCAGGGCTCTGAAAGTCATGGTCAGTTTGGATTTAATCCTAAGAAGTTTGGAGCGCCATGGTGTGATTAATCCACGTCCCCACTCCGCTTGGAAGGGGACGAGAACCAGGCAGTAACTTGCCAGGGGTGTGCTACAATTTGAGGCAGAAATCCTAGAAGGGAGAGGGCAGAGAGAGAAAGAGCATCAGGAGCCTCGTAGAGGGCCTGTCTCAAGCTAGGCGGGCCCAATGATATGTCGTAAAAAGACAGTAAAAAGAGGATAGATGTGCACAAGAGGCATTTTGTAGTTTTGCCTTGAACATGACCTCCACTCAATTCAGAGAAATGTCTGCCATGGCTTGTAAGATGACCTGCACTTGGCCTGTTCCGTGGCTGTGTAGGGCATAAGAAATGGCCGGGGAACTACTCCTGACTTGGTTGAACGGGCCCTCCTTCCTCCTGAAAAATTTCAAGCCCTAACAGCCAACATTTGAGAGAGGGCTTTTCACATTTCTAAGAAAGTAAAAATATAAGAAAATACTTAAGTATGATTTTTTTTTCCAAAGTAAACATTTTTATTCTCAGTCCTGCCTTAGCCGTCTCTAGTTTTGCAAGCATGAATAAATGGAATCAACAAGAATACTCTCCCTAAACGTCTTTCATTATAATTTGTCACTGACACTCTTCACATTTTTACCAGTAAAATACTATAGTATGATTAGAATATTTCTGCAGAATCCAAAAGGAGTAAATAATTCCTAATCATACTTTAATTATGTGTCAGCTTCCTGTGTCAAACATAATGAAAATGTGTCACATCTGGGATTCATCTACCTACCGTGACCTCAGTCAATGTTTCCCTTCAGGGTAAATAATTTGCCACATGCCATTAAGCAAAAAGTTTCCTGAGATGTCTCTGCTATTACAGCATTTTTACCGCTTCCCCAAGGAATCAAAATTCCAGCCCACTCCTGCTTCAATTAGAATTGTTCAAGAAAGACGAATAGTTAATTGCATCTTTAAATTTTTTTAGCAGGTCTGGCTAAAAAAATGGAATTTTTTTTCTATGTCCAGTGTTTTTGGAAGTACTTGGTTTCAAAGAAAGCTGTGAGCTATTATTAATAATTGTTCATCGAATTAAAATTTCAAACTAGAAATTATGGTCATATTCAGTATGGTGCATTATAATCTGAATAGGACTGATTAGAACAACAACAAAAAAGCACATTAAATGAACTCAGTTCCTTCATTACAAAAATTTGAAATGAACCTCTTTGTCTATAGTATTTCTGATATGTCAGAGGCAGAACAATCCACTATGATCCTCTAAAGCTCGTCCTAACCCAATGCAATAAAGGTTGGAATAATAAATCTGACATGTAACAGTGCTCATAGCCATGGATAATAGAGAAAGAATGAGATGAATATAAAATAGGATTTAAAAGTACAAAGCAATGCATTTTTCAATCTCACCAATTCAATACTATTTCACTGACAGCAAATGTCAGAATTTACATAAAGTTAGGCATATTTGAAGTTTTTTTCAGATTTGAAAAGTGGAGAGTTACAGACTTTTACATTTATAAAATGAAAAATTTTTACCGAGTAGTTTTTATTTTTCTGATTAGTTAATAACGATTGTATCGAGAATTCCTGAGCTGGCTTTATGTTTTTATTTTGAATTTAAAAATTCTAGCAGCAGATACTTTATAAAACTACACAGCTGTTTGAAAGACACAGAAATTCACATGGATGGACATGAAGAACTAGTTCCCAGTCAGACTTTACTTAATAGTTTTCAGATGAACAGTACAAGGCTACATCAAATACAGACCAAAATTACGGAAAAGAAAATCAACGAATATCTTTCAATCATTTTGGAAAAACTGAGCTAAATTCCTAGAACAAACTAAAAAGTTATCAGAGAAACACATTCTAGACTGAATCAACTATTAACTTTCCTTTTTTAAAAGTTCTGAGCCACTATTCAAAATTTTCGAATGCAAAAATGAAACATCTTTCAGAAAAGGAATGCAATAGAATCAAATAAATAATCGTAAAGGCATATATTTTACATTTGCCAACTTAACAAATTGCCTTTTATCTTAATAATATGATTTAATGCAACAAGAAAAATGGGTCATGAAAAGATATTTTCTTGTTATAAAATAAGTCTTTTCATAAATTCAGATAATATAATCTGTTAAAATACTTAAATTTTATAAAAATACTCAAATCCTTAGGAAAAAATGATCTAGTTTGAAATAACGACACTTATACCAGAGTGTGTCACAGATGCTTAAAAGAATTCAGAGCTGTGAGTTGAATGGACTCTAGACTGAGTCCATTCTGGGCTGTCTGGAGAAATACTGAATTTGTAATACTCATGCCCAAATAGCTCTCACAGCTTGTTTCAAGTTCATTTAATCATGCCAGGGTTAAGGATAGATGCTAGCTCTTTCACATATTTTCTCAAGTCAGGTTTTCATTATAATATTTTATGGTTTTAAACCATTTAAAAATGTGCTCAGGGCATTTCCCAGCTACTTTCAAAAAAAGCTGGTTAAGGAAAAGACAGGCCTCCAGGAATGGGGAGCTCCCAACAAAGGATTTTTTTCAAAAAATTCTTCAGGGTCCTCCTCTCCCCCCACCCTCCACCCTCAAAGTCTTGGACTCCAGTATGAACCACTGTCAAAAGGCCATCAACAACACGCTGAAATTGGCTGGAAATACTGTAGCTTCTTTGGGTCAAGACTGGTTTGTTCCGCATTCTGACATTCTCAGGAACCAAATGTACTGCCTGAGTTTGACCACCTTTTCTGGAAAATGAGGGCACTGCTTGAACACTCAAAGAATTTGTTGATTTTCCAGAGGATATATCCTGCTGGCATTACCCAGTAGGGACAGACTTCTGACCCTTGAGGACCTACATACTGGAAACAAAGTGGCTGTGTTCCAATCAGGTTCCCTTTCATAGTCCCTTCAGAAAGGTTCAAAAGGAACACTTTAGAAGCTATCTATATAAGCCATGCTCTCCTATGGCCCTGGCAAAGGAACCAGAATTCTCCTGCTATTCCTGATGACAAGATCGTGGTGACAAAAATATAGGTTAGGACACAAAAATCTATTTTTATAATGTTTACTTTTTCTCTAACTGTTCACGCTAAGTTAGAAAATTGCCATCTGTTTTCAGCACAGGAAACCAGGTAATTTAACACAAGCTCGACTATTAAAAAAAAAGATATTCTGTGTATCTGAAAATTGGTATCCAAAGCATATGCAGATGCAAAAGTCAATGTATTTTATATTTTTAGTTTGGTTAATGTTACTTTTAATAAGCCAAGAATCTAAAAGAGATCCCCAAGATTTGTTTCATTGAAAAATTTCCCAAGTGTTTTTATACAGTTGACCCTTAAATAAGGTGGGGGTTAGGGTCACTGACCCGAGTGGTTGACTCTACAGTGGTTGACCCGAGTTGGTCCTTTGCATTTGTGGGTTCAACCAATCACTGATCAAAACAGTGTTTTAGATCCGTAGTTGGGAATCTGTGGCTGGGAATGCAAAAACACTATTTTTGATCAGTGGTTATTTGAATCCAAGAATGGGAAACCTACAGACAGTAAGGGCCGACTGTATTTATTGGAAAAAAATCTGTGTATAAGCAGACCTGCATGGTTCAAACCTATGTCATTCAAGAGTTGCCTGTACTTATCTCACCTGGAGCCTGTAGTTTGAAGAAGTAGCCTTCATGGGAAAAGCTGACAGCAAAAGATCAGCATCATATCATAGATCCTTGCTTTTTTTTTTGAAAGACTAATCCCTGGCTACTCACATTTGGAGCATGGACCTTCAGCATCAGCATCCTCTCGGAGCTTTTTTTAGAAGTACAGAGTTTCAGGCCCATCCTAGACCTATGGACCCAGAAGCTGCATCTTCACAAGATCACCAGGAGATTTGAATGGACTAACTCACCAGGCCACAGGAGTTGTAGACTCTGGAATCTGGCAAGTTTTATTTTCCAGGTTGATAAACATTGGAAATGGGCATCCACAGTCACCACTGGCCTTGCTCTGCAGGGAGAAAACACGGGTTTAAATGAGTTGCAGGAGCCACGGGGAGAAGCCTACTCCACTTCTAGAAGCCACTGCCAACATTTCCAGTCTTCGTGCCAAGAATTTGCATGAACAAGTGGGCACCAAACTCAGCTAATTACATTTGGTAGCTCTGAGTGCAAATAAAGGATGTCTTGGACCCGTCAAAGAAAGCCACATTCACACACCTGCTTCGTTTATGGAGTAGGCTCATGGTATTTTGGTGATACTGCTGCGAAATACTGCTACTTTATCTATAGCCACATTCGAGGAAATACATCATCCTACAGCCACTCGTGTCTATAAGTACTTGAGTTTTGCAAATTTTCTTGCGGCCTTACTGGTTGATGATATTTTAGCTTCGTTATTTTCTAGCCAAGCTTCACAGATTTAGCTAAAGATATGAGGGTGGGTTGACAGGATCATTCTGTACTTCACACAGAGCATTGGTTCTCAATCCTAACTGTACCATATTAGCATCCAAGGAGCTTTAAAACAGGTAGTATGCCCAGGCCCCACGACAGGCGAATCGAGTCAGAACCCAAGGGGGTGTCAGGGCCAGACACTGGAGTGTCAAACAAACCTTCCAGGTGATTCGAACGTGCAGCCAAGTCGAGGAGAGGGACTAAGATAGAGTAAACTCGGTTCACATCACCCAGGTGAGCGTAAGCAGATGAGAATGTAAGTCATAGGGAAAGGGCACGGGACGATTCTTAAAGCTCAGTTCCCAGATATGACAGCTGGGAGCCAAGTCCCCAGATGACAACATGAAACAGTCCTGAATCACGTGCATTTTCCTCTGACAGGTGGAAGGGCTGTTCTTTGAGGCAGAGTATTGTCTTAGGACCCAATTTTAAATAATTTCTTGGCTACATAACTTTGTTTTCAATATTGTGTTAGCTCCAGTCCTCGGAAAAGCAGATGATAAGACAGGATTAGACCTGCAAGACGTTTAGCGGGGCAAACGTCTATGAGGAACAAAGGGGAGGGAGTGGAGGAGGCCGCGAGCCGGTGGTCAGACTGGGGTACAGCCTGATCCCTGTGCAGGAGCGAGAATAGAAGAGGGGATCCAGCAAGGAAGCGCCAGCCAGGGCCGTGGGGGTCCTCGAGCTGAAGATGCTCATTGGAAGAGCCACACGCCTCACAGGAATGGGCCTGGGCAGTCCGTGGAGAACATGACCTTGGCGCAAATGTGGTGGATTCAAGCGTAGCAGCTGGACCAGGAGTCAGTTTCACCCCATCAGCTCTAAATGAGTGTATCCTGTCGGTCGCCACAAACACAGCCTCACCCTTCTGGTACTTTGACAGTTTCAATAATCTGGTTCCCTGTAACCTGAAGCGGAGAGTGGCTGGTAGAAATCAGCCCTCTGAGTGTGTCTTGGGACAGATGAGATGCAAATCTTACCTACTTAAGAAAACCTAACTTTAGAATCTCTGAGAGTTGAGCCGGGTTAGTGTGATATGTCCAGAACACCTTGGTCTGGTCTCCGCCTTTTGTCTTGATATCCTGACTTAGCATCTTGCATTCCCATCAAATTTTAAAGAAAAAAGAATCTATCTAAAACTTTTGAGCACCAACTGTCTACCAGTTACTATTCTGTGTACTTTACGTGGAGAGTCTCACTTAATTCCTTTAACAAAAAATAACCTTATAAAGTAAATGTTGTTTTCCCCATTTTATAGATGAAAAATCAGAGGCTCAGAAAGTTCTAGGAACTTGCCCAAGACTATAAATTATGAATGTGTGGAATAACCAGGGTTTTGAAGCCAGACATGTCAAATGTGAACTGTTGTTCATTGTTTGCTATTGATGGCTATGAATCCCTGGTACTTTCTAGTCTCTAACTTAGTGTCCTCACTTAATTATAGAAACCAGGGTGCATAGTAACATTGTCCCACACCACATTTCCTCTCTATAAGCACATTTTAATGCCTTTCCAAAGCAAAGGGAAGCATTCGCATATAGTGACATCTAAAAAGTGTGTCATTTTTTAAGTCCTGCCAAGATTCCTATCTTATTTAAAATTACTTTAGTAGGGGATAGAAGTTTGGATATGAGGTATGAGAATAAAAAAACAGAGATGAAAGAAAAGAAAAAAAAAATTGAGAACAAAAATTTCTCTAAACTTTAAAAAGAGCATCTAAATGTTCTCCAAAATAAATAGTTGGGATATACTCTTTTAGGGAAAACTAACAATAAAAAGGAAACACATTTGAAACCATTAGAAAAACATATCCATTGATAGATGAATGGATAAAGAAAATGTGGTGTATAAATGTAAAATAGACTATTATTCAGCCATAAAAAGGAAATCTTGTCATTGCAACAACATGGAAGGACCTTGACAGCATTATCCTAAGTAAAAAAAAATTTGGACGCAATACCATATGGTCTCATTTACATGTGGAGTCTAAGAAAAAAAAATCAAAAACCAAAAAATGAACACTAGATACAGAGAACAAATCGGTGGTTGCCAGAAGCGGGGGCTGGAGGCGGGCTGGAGGCGGGGTGGAGGCAGGGGCTGGAGGCGGGGTGGTGTGGGGCAGGGGCTAAATGCAGTTATAAAATAAATTAGTCCTGGGATGTAATGTACAGCATGGTGACTATACTTAACAATACCATATTATACATTTAAAATTTGCTAAGAGGGTAGATCTTAAAAGTCCTCATCACAAGAAAAAAAATTCGTAGCTGGCGACGGATGGTAACTAGACTTATGGTGGTGATCGTGGCATACTATATCCAAATACTGAATCATGACGTACATCTGAAACTAATGTAATGTTATATCTCAATTATATCTCGATACAAAATTTGCATACCACCAGGCACGTACCTGTAAACAGCTACTTTTCCTGTTCCGAATGCACCCACGATTAAATCTAGAAAAGATAAAAACACAAAACATACGCACAAATTTTACAGACACGATTCAAGCCCATAATCATAACTAGCACACGGAGCATCCTGAAATGCTGACTGCAGAGTGAGAGTCATAAAAATAAGAATAGCACATTGCTCCTTTCTTAAGACATTCTTGAAAGGATGTTGGAACTTCCCTGTAATCGCTCAATGACAAATAAAAGCAGTAGACCTCAAACCCTTCTGGACTTAGGAAGCCCAACTTTCTAGAAATGCTTTAAGAAACTCATCATAACACCATTTCTCCCATCCTCAGATTCAAGACACACATCTTAAGGAAAACAAAAGGGGAAAAGCGTGTGCTTAGTGCCTACTGTGTATCAGGCTGTTTAAACATAGTGTTTTATTACTCCCCTGCCATCAACAACCCTACTTACTAGGCAATTAGTGTTACCAGTTAGGAGATGGGACATTTGTCTGTCATTTTGACACAGCCATTTGCTCTTTACAAATAGTGTGGGTGGTGAGTATACTGTTGGCAAAGTAATCAGTAGTATATGAATTAATTGGCAGATCATTATATTGATCATAAATAGCAATGATAATAACAAATAGTACGTATTGGACACGTACGTACTCTAGGCTAGGAATTTTTCTAAACAGTTTAACTGATTCCTGATTAGGAAGTCTATTATTAGCGCCATTTTGCAGATGAGTAAATTAAGGTTTAAGGAAGCTAACCCATAAATTTACTAAAGGTCACACAAGTGGGAGGAGGTGGAGCTGGGCAGTAGAGCCATCTTAGACTGTTTGAGAGGTAGGAGGAGGTGGAGCTGGGTTCCAGCAGTCCTGGGCAGTAGAGCCATCTTAGACTGTTTGAGAGGTGATGCTCACTCACAATGACCTCAGCAATTGGCTAATGTATAGGCAGAACTCTGTTTTTCTTAATCTAATTTATGATGATTATTCTTAGTAGATGCAATAAAAAAATAAAATAAAATAAATGACGATGGCTAAATCCGCAGAATAAAATTTAGATGTAGAGGTGAGAAAACTGGACTTGGTAGAAATAAGGGCAGCAGGAGAAAACTTAGAATCGTCGAAACTATAACTGGTTAATTCTAGTGGGAACAGAAGTGGAAAGAAAAAAAAAAGGGGAGGGAATACATTTGACTACTGCATCTGGAAAGGCCATCAAGGAATTAAACTGGCTTAATGGAGTTTGCACAGAGCTGTGATCTGTAGCCTCATTCCCTCGGCACTCACCTTTCCAGAGCATGGGAATGGTGTCAGACAGCCAGCAGCTATGGCTCTCCTCTGGAGGGCTTCTCTTGGCCGGGTCAAGGCCGGCGGAAGTGCCCCTGGCCACAGCCTTCAGCTAGTGATGGATAGGAATTGGAAGCTAACTAGGGACAACAGCTCTCACAGCTTGTTTACCCCTCGAGTGGGATAACTCTGAAGAATGATTTCTCCAGCCTGACAGAGCCCTAGTTTTCCACAGTGTCAGCTTCTTGATAATAATCTTTTATTACATCCTTCCTTACCACCTTCAGCAATTTTTTTGGGGGGGGGAGGGGGGGGTCAGGGATTATTCCTCAAATAAACTGCTAGTTTTCTAAATCTTGTCTTAATGTCTGCTCTGGAAAAAGCCAACCTAAGACATGCTAATTCTTGTTTTAAAAGTTTGTTTTTTAAAAAAATGGATTCAAATATCTTCGGAGTTAAAACCACAGTCCAAACGTCTCTTGTTTTTATCAATACTGAATCTGATTCAGATAATAGGCCAGGATTGAACTCCAAACCTCCATGTTTTCAAAGGTGTGCCTGCTGATGTTCAAACAAGTCGGACGAAGGTCACATCGGGGGCTCTGTGTCCGTGAGATTAAAGAACACATTCAGGAAAGGCCTACGACTTGGCCAACTACAGTTCATGGAATAAAATATTCTCTTCCAAGGGTTCATATCTTTGAAGCCCAAAACCAACATTTCTAAGTCTACTATTTAAAAAAGAAAAAGAAAGAAAGAAATCACGCCAGAATTTCCACTGTTTCATCTACATTCACATTTATTTTTTCTGTTTTATTCGTCTTCTGGCGTATCAGTGCCCTTTTGCTAGGTCAGAGGAAAAGGAGCTACTGATCTGGAGAAACATGAACTCTCTTCTTCCTGTGTAATCACGGGCTCCAATATTTAGACAAGTGTAACACAGGTGGCCCTTGGCCTGATCCACGTCTGTTGACGTGACACCAAACAGAAGAGTTCCATTATGAAAACTGATTCGAGAGGAATTATGGGCTTTGTTTTTGGCTCCAAATATTTATATTACCAAGAGGAGGCATTTTATAACTAACAGATGAATTTTAAGAGTTGACTCTCTGGAAATGGCACAGAAAACAGGACAGTAAGCCCTTTCAGGGCAGAAATCTTTATTCAGGTTGGCATGTCACACAGACTTTATGGAATGGGATGGGCTAAAATAAAGAAATAAATAATCTTTGTGCCCACAGTGCCAGGCATAGTGCCAGATTCAGAGCAGGGATTTAAAAATGGCTGTGAAATAGAGAGATAAGTAATAATGAGATAATACTGTAAAGATGAGAGAGATGAAGGAAATGAGACAGTTATTAAGACAGGCTAATGTATAGTGCAGTTAAATTCTGCTGGAGTTTTGCATGTGTACTCGGAGGTATTCGGAGATGCGTGCACGCCCACACACACACACACTCTCTCTCTCCAGATTCTAGAACATTCTAGAAAGTAACATAGAGGCTGCATCATGCCTAAGTGGTCATTCTAGATGAGAAGCTGAGACCCACCCTCCTGATAATGGTCATGAGCAGAAGGCCTTTCCTCGAGGAATGACAATTCCAGTGCCTCAGGGTGGAAATTTTCTTACTCTGGGAAAATAAAATCACTGGCAAAATAGGCCACCATTTCCTTTATGAGACTGTGGCCACAGTTGAGAGGCCAAGAAAACAGTTATCTACTTCAAAAGTATGTTGGTTTTTGGAGACACCATGTTGGTGCTGCGCCTGCTGGAAAAGGCTGGAAGCATTTATACTCAGGACCTTAAGATTCTCAGGTCTTCCTAGGGGACCCCAAGATACGTGATTTGTTTTGCTAAGTCCTATATCATGTTTTACATATCTGTTCCATATACATACACATATATTTATGTTTGTGTGTATGCATACATATGTATACATACATATATATGTACGTATACACATAAACATATGTATAGGGACACACACATATACATAAATATATATATATATTTTTTGGTTCAAATTAATGGTTTTATTATCTCATTTCCATCTTTAACACCAGCAGAGTCGTCCAAAACAGCCTGACGAACATGGATATAGTTTACATGTAACAAAGAGAGATTTGAACTACGTACATTGAGAAAGGGAAAGGGATTTTTTTTATATCAACTTTTTCCTATTTTGTGGTTTTCGAATCGTAGAAATTAAACATACAATTTTTCTTCAATTAATTCAGTATGAATTAATACAACTTTTATGATCAACCATTTGTCTTTAAGCATAAAGACATACACACACATCTACACACACAATTTTTTAAAATTTTGCATTATTCCATCATGTTTGGGAATTTAAATAATCAGAAGAAATTTTGGTGATGACATTCAGATTCATAACTCTGCAAACTTTCTCTCTCGCTTTGACAAAACAGGTCTTATCTAATAATAATTTTCCTTATCTAACGTCTACTTTCCTTGCTTACAGAAATTTCTTAAAGGCACATTCTAAAAACAAACAAAATGAGCCTTTCTTTATTCAAAGACACTTAGCCATTTTTTTTTCTTGAAAGAAAAACTGGCGACTAAAAATTGTTTTTTTCCCCTTGATCAAAATGCTGGGGTCCTTTGTTAGCACCTCACATTGCCTGAGAAACACAGTTTATTTTCCTTTGGCTTTTGATGGGACAACTGAGTACTTCTCAAAGGGGACATTAGCATGAGTACAGGATCACTTGGCAAGAACAAATAACCCTAAAAAGTGAGGTCATAGGAGATGTATTGCACCTCCGTTTTGTATTTCATTTCCCCAGAATCGTTATTTTTACACAAGGAAGAAGACAAGAGCCAAGCTTTTAAAGTGGTACTTGGACTAGAGTCGGATTTCATTAATCTATGAAGAAAATTTTGGAGTTGGAAGAAGTTCTGTTTGAAAACATCAGCTTTGTTTTGAGTGAGGATTTGATGTCTGGGTTTGGGTGGGTGAGGTGCAGGGAGGAGAGAGTGGGAACTTCCTAAGAGGAGAGGGAGGCAGGTGAAGGGGAAGACAGTGGGAAAAGTGGGGAGTTTTAGAATAAGGAATTGCCCAGCCTCATTTTCTGGAAGTCACCATGGTCACCAGACCATGGCCTGCGTTGCATAAACTGAGACTTCTTCTTCCTTCTTCCTTCTTCCTCTCTCATCTTGTTGAGAAATCTACTAATGGTAAAGTTCGTTGCTGAAAATGCCATCAGGCAGCACTTTTTTTTATTTTGGAATTAAAAACAATATTTCAAACTAATTCTGGAGAATGAAAATTACCATAAAGAACCTCCAAACCAATGAGACAGACGGGGATGTAAATCTAATGGTTGCGTGACAAGATTACCATCATGTAGTCTTTTGGGGTCTGGCTTTTCTCACTCAGGTTGATGCCTCTGCGAGTCATCCACGAGGTCGCGTGTTGCAGATTGCTGAATAGTGTTCCACTGTGTCAAAAGCCACAGCCTGTTTATTAATCCCTGCCTTAGGGGCACGAGTTGTTTCCAGTTTGGGGGAAGTCGCTATAAACATTTGTGTTATAGGTTTTCGTATACCTACAGGTCGATTTTGATTTGTAAATCATCTCTTGTTGAATCGCTCTGATATCTCTGAAGCCCTCTTTTAAATGAAGTGTTTTAGCTCAAGTGGAAAATTACGAAATGAAGGGCAAAAAGTTAGGAATTCTAAATTCTGGTTCGCTTTGCCACTGGCTGCCTAACGGCTCTGGACAAGTTG